TTAATGGGTGTTGTACTTGCATTTTAAGTCACTCTTTTAAGTCACTCTTTTAATGGGTGTTGTACTTGCATTTAATGGGTGTTGTACTTGCATTTTAAGTCACTCTTTTAAGTCACTCTTTTAATGGGTGTTGTACTTGCATTTAATGGGTGTTGTACTGGCATTTTAAGTCACTCTTTTAAGTCACTCTTTTAATGGGTGTTGTACTTGCATTTAATGGGTGTTGTACTTGCATTTTAAGTCACTCTTTTAAGTCACTCTTTTAATGGGTGTTGTACTTGCATTTAATGGGTGTTGTACTTGCATTTTAAGTCACTCTTTTAAGTCACTCTTTTAATGGGTGTTGTACTTGCATTTAATGGGTGTTGTACTTGCATTTAATGGGTGTTGTACTTGCATTTTAAGTCACTCTTTTAAGTCACTCTTTTAATGGGTGTTGTACCTGCATTTAATGGGTGTTGTACTGGCATTTTAAGTCACTCTTTTAAGTCACTCTTTTAATGGGTGTTGTACTTGCATTTAATGGGTGTTGTACTGGCATTTTAAGTCACTCTTTTAAGTCACTCTTTTAATGTGTGTTGTACTTGCATTTTAAGTCACTCTTTAATGGGTGTTGTACTGGCATTTTAACTCACTCTTTTAAGTCACTCTTTTAATGTGTGTTGTACTTGCATTTTAAGTCACTCTTTAATGGGTGTTGTACTGGCATTTTAACTCACTCTTTTAAGTCATTCTTTTAATGTGTGTTGTACTTGCATTTTAAGTCACTCTTTAATGGGTGTTGTACTGGCATTTTAACTCACTCTTTTAAGTCACTTTTTAATGGGTGTTGTACTTGCATTTTAAGTCACTCTTTAATGGGTGTTGTACTGGCATTTTAACTCACTCTTTTAAGTCACTCTTTTAATGGGTGTTGTACTTGCATTTAATGGGCGTTGTACTTGCATTTTAAGTCACTCTTTTAATGTGTGTTGTACTTGCATTTTAAGTCACTCTTTAATGGGTGTTTTACTTGCATTTTAAGTCACTCTTTTAAGTCACTCTTTTAATGTGTGTTGTACTTGCATTTTAAGTCACTCTTTAATGGGTGTTGTACTTGCATTTTAAGTCACTCTTTTAAGTCACTCTTTTAATGTGTGTTGTACTTGCATTTTAAGTCACTCTTTTAATGTGTGTTGTACTTGCATTTTAAGTCACTCTTTAATGGGTGTTGTACTTGCATTTTAAGTCACTCTTTTAAGTCACTCTTTTAATGTGTGTTGTACTTGCATTTTAAGTCATTCTTTTAAGTCAGTCACTCTTTTAATGGGTGTTGTACTTGATTTTTAAGTCACTCTTTTAATGGGTGTTGTATTTGCACTTTAAGTCACTCTCTTAAGTCAGTCACTCTTTTAATGTGTGTTGTACTTGCATTTTAAGTCACTCTTTTAAGTCACTCTTTTAATGTGTGTTGTACTTGCATTTTAAGTCATTCTTTTAAGTCAGTCACTCTTTTAATGGGTGTTGTACTTGATTTTTAAGTCACTCTTTTAATGGGTGTTGTATTTGCACTTTAAGTCACTCTTTTAAGTCACTCTTTTAATGGGTGTTGTACTTGCATTTTAAGTCACTCTTTTAATGGGTGTTGTACTTGCATTTTAAGTCACTCTTTTAATGGGTGTTGTACTTGCATTTTAAGTCACTCTTTTAATGAGTGTTGTACTCTTTTATTGGTTATCTTGGTTTTTTTTTGTTCTCGATCATTTGTTATGTAGTTTTGATTAGATAACTTGTAATGTACAGCACTTTGGAGCTTACAATAAGGTTGATTCATTAGTTAACTACCTCAGTTAACATGAACTAAGAATGAACAAGACTTTATTAATCTTAGTTCATATTAATTTCAACATTTACTAATACGTTATTAAAATCAAAGGTTGTATTTGTTAACATTAGTTAATGCACAGGGAACAAACATTGAATGAACAGCTGTATTGTTTAACATTAATAAAGATCAACAAATACTGTAACAAATTTCTCATTGTTAGTTCATGTTAGTTAATACATTAACTAATTAACCTTATTGTAAAGTGTTACTCATAATTTGTATACATGCCATTTTATTTATTTTAAGTGTATTCCACATTTAAATATTTAGTGACGCTTAATAAGCTTATGCATTCCACTTTTTAATGCATTTTATGCTATTTTAGTGATTTTTAAAAAATGTTGGTATTTTTATATATACCATTTTTTATTTATTCATTAAGTGTATTCCACATTTAAATATATTTTAGTTATTTATGCATTACATTTTAAAGCAGTTTATTAGTGGTCTTTGCTAAGTCAAGCAGAAGTATAACTACTGCTCATATAGTCACACACTGAAAAAAATAATATGCTTTATCTAATCAATAAAATTGTGGCAACATATTACAAGCAATATTATTAATTAAATTGTACAAATTAGAATTAATTAAAATATTAATTTGATTAACTATTACTCAATTCTAATTTGTTCAATTTAATAAATAATATTGCTTGTAATCTGTTGCCACAATTTTATTGATTAGATTAAGCATATTAATTTTTACAGTGCAGTTAATTTACTAAGTAGCCTATTAGATGCCATTTCTTAACTTACGGACATGAATGATCCCTCATTTGTTAAATCGAGATGTACTTTTAGTTTTCTAAGCTATTTTTGCCTGGTAAAACAGCAATAGATTTGCATTGAATGAATCTCACAGATTTGCATTGAACACAGTCAGCGACACGCAGCGACAAAGCGACATCCCATAAATTTCAATCAAAGCCACTTGAAGGCAAGCCTGCAACCTAAGCAGAAACAAGTGTACTAAAGCTGCGGTAGATGCTGTTTTGTTTTATAAATATGGATGTCAATTGAGAAGAAGCTGAATAACCCACTTTTATGAAGAAATAGCTTATCATTTAACATGTTTGCTCTTAAAAAATGGTTTTGGATTGATACATTTTTTGAGTTTACACTGAAAAAAAAAGCTATTTATTGAGAGAGAATTGCGCGACAGGAATTATTCAATTCACGTCACTTCTACGGGCGAATTTTTAACTGCTTTAAAATGGCTTTTTTGGTCACTTATAGGCAGGATATTTATTAAAAACGACACATCTTGAAGCAAAAAAATCCTTCCGTCCTTTTAAATGTCCGTGTTAAAATAGCAGATTGTAGCTGTTGTTTGAATGGTAGTTTAGTAAGTGTGTCTGCAATCAAATAGTGTGTGTGTTGGTTGGTCCGATCGATTGTGCAATCGATTTTCGTACTTAAAGTGACGGCGCTAATTGAAACATGGAGCAAAGTTGCTTGCAGTGTGAACGCAGCTTGAGGTTTCGCACTGGCGAACACTACGTTTATTTTCCTCAGCTAGTATAAAAATCGAATTAATTCCTGTCTTTGCTTAGTGATTACTTCAGGATTTCCCTCGGTGGGTTTGCACTTGGCAGGGGTTTTCTGAGTGAACAGGGGAGTCATTAAAATAAGTTAATTAACTAATAAGAAGCTTGGGTTTTGCGTCATTGCTACCGCTGCACACGTTCTCTTGCCACATCATTACCACTTCGAGATCCAGAAAGCCCTAAACGATGACAAATACCCTCCTTTCCCCGTGTCCCCCGATGTTATAACCCAGCCACAAAACGGCTTATACTCGGCTAGCCATCAAAGAAGCGAAGCAGAACCCAAACCACCAGTGCATTTCCCACAGTGCAACACAATCCACACGTTGAATTGCTTTCTGAAAAGGCTTTCAGTGCTCAAACCCCACAAGGTATTTTAATAATAGGATGATTAATTAATGAGAATAAAATAAGGAACAATATCAAACTAATCACTTTTTTTTTAGAATCACTGATCCATTTATTAGAAGATACTTTTAATACATTTATTAGGTTTTAACCTCCTGTGGTAAAAATCCAGATTTTAATGCTGTTTATATGCCTATGTGACGTTTAAAACAAGCCACGTGTAAGTTTTCATAAGTTTAAAGTCGGGAGTCGGGGCTCATTTGCATATTCATAGAACTGCGTATACTAAATGAGGCAAGGGTGTCGAGTTACATTCAAGATATTTTAAAGCATGAAGATTTTTTTCTGTTTTTGTTTTTAAATATGTCATTTTGGTGATCAAAGATGAGTTTTAAAGGATGAAATTATTGACTGCAGGGGGACTTTAAAAATTGCCATAATACCATAGAAATACATAATAAGAAAAATAGTAATAAAATATTTTTTTTTTTACTGAATTTTTTATTTTTATTTAAAATTTTATATTTTTTATTTAGTTATTTAATTTTTAAAATGTATATTTAGTTATTTTTTGGAATTAATTTCAGTTTAGTGGTTTCCACTTCTATATATATATATATACTGTATATATATGTATATATATATATATATATATTGTTACGCATTACGTCTAAACAAGAAATCTAATATTCAGAATTTTATTTGATACATTTTATTTGATTTTTATTTTACAAAACATGGTAAAACAATGTTGTTTTTCAACTCTAGCACCATTTAGTATTTTGTCCATGAAGTACTTTGCAATATGATATTAATAACTAGGTATATATGTAACATTATATGTCATACATATAAAATGGGAAACAGAACAATAAAAAACCCTAATACATTTAAAAAATTAAACTAAATAAAAAAATCAGTTAAACAAACAAACATTGTATTGCTGTTTTTTCCATTATGTATCTCTATGGTATTATGGCGATTTTTAAAGTCCCGCTGTAGTCAATAATTTGACTTTGATCACCAAAATTACATATTTAAAAACAAAAACACACAGAAAAAATAAAATAAAAAATTCTCCATGCTTTAAAATAGTTTGAATGTAACTCGACACCCTTGTCTTATTTTAAGAAACGTGGCGTATATCGAAGTCTCATGGTTTACTGATGGCATCTAGTGTGTGCGAACAAAAGTAAACGTCTTATTCTTTGAATATCAGTAGCATCACACTAGCTCACCGTTGTCTCTGGCCAGCTGAAAGTATCCGTCCACAAGTGAAGCTCCGTTGTTGAAGTGTTGGGTCATGTGATCGAGCCAGTTCGCCTCCAGCGTGCAGATGCCCTCGCCTTGCGGTTGCACTCGTAGAGGAACTTTAACCGTGTAGTACTTAAACTGACCCTCACGGCGGCCCGGGTAGTTAAACAATCCGAAGAGCTCGGCACCTGTGGACATGTGACAAACAGAAAAATGGCAATGGCCATTTAGTCTAAAGGTCCTTGCATACAATTCTCATCTGAAATATCCGCACGTTAAAAAATAAATATGAACTCACATGGTTTCAATCATAAAAACGATTCGGATCGGGTTTAATTTTCCGCGTTTTTCGCATCCGTAGCAAGTATTTCAAGAGGTGTTTTGACAATTCAGAGCCACCATACAAGCGAACGTCAAATACAAATGTTGCTTCATGGAAATTGGTGGTCTTCTTTTAGCTAGCAAAGCATCAAACTGAGCCACTGAAATCCTGAAGTAACCAGTTTGAATCGCTCGGGATAATCCCGCAGCGAGCTCTCGTTCCTCTTTCCGCATAGTTGGGGTCGACCGATATGTGATTTTAAGAGCCGATACCGATTATTACAGATCAAATAGACCGATAACCGATATTTTTAACCAATATATGTCTGGTATAAAAATGTAAATTAATGTCAGAATTAAGAATAACAAAGGATTTGGCAAATACTTGATTTTAAACATATTAGAGCCAGACCGATATATCGGTAGGCCGATATTATCGGCCGATATTAGGCATTTTCCAAACTATCGGTATCGGCGGTTATAATGGCAGATAAATGAATATTTAAAAAATAAAATAAAAACGGACGAAACACGCTTGAACCATGTCATGATTTTTGGAGTTGTATAGTTTGTCCACCAGAGGGCACTCTACACCGTTCCTGTTGGCAAGCTAAACACTCGAGCTAACCATAAAGCTAATGCCACTATCATCAGTCTGTTCTGTTGTGACAATAAAAGAAACAAGTTTCTTTTAAAATGCATTATCATATTACATATTATTTTAGTTAAAACTCATAAATAACTACAAATAACTAATGTTAGGGAAATCTGTTAATGTTTTGTTGCGCGTTAAATAAAAAAATATCGGCCGATATATTGGAATATCGGATTTTAAAACCAAAAAAATATTTGTATCGGTATCGGCCTTCAAAATCCTTTATCGGTCGGGCTCTAAAACATATCCTTGAATCTGAGAACTGTTATTAATAATAATAATAATAACTTTATAGCACCCAGCAGCATTCTGTAAACATTTACACTATTTTAATGTTTAAATTAAATTTTAGGAATCAAAAAGCATTTCTAATCAATTGAAATCATCAAACTTATTCAATTTATTTAGTTTAACAGAAATTACATTTTTAGGGCCCTATGAAAAACCGAACTTTTATTTTGACGGGGTATGATATGACATGACGATAACTTTTCTCAGTTGAAGTATTAAAAAGCTCATGAAGTGATAAGCGTCTGGAGATGATGTTTATGTAATCATGTCCTCATATAATGAGTAAATCACACGTTTGCGCTATTCATTTAGAGACACGCAGGATTCATATTTAAATAGTCTTTATGAGGTTTGAAATTCGATTTGATTTGTACCGATCTGCTGTTTATTAATTCATCAAAAAGTTGACAATTTTCGTGATATTCCGCTTTATACAGTAAATTCCGTTTTTTGGACTGGATTTCGTCTGTTTTCTGCATAAAATTATTTTATCGGCAAATCGGTTTTGAAAATGGCCGATACGACAACCATAAAAATGCTTAATATCGGTACCGATAATCGGTCGACCCCTATTGAATAAACCCAATATTTCCTCTTTATTTCCCTCTTTTCAAGAAGACAGAGGATAACAAAATCATCCTCACTGCTTGACGACTCCATTTTGTATTGTTTTATGTATTGTTTATGTATTGTACTATACGACGTGTATGACGCATATGATCGTAACTCCCGTACTATTCTCCATTGGACATGAATGACTGTCGTTTGCAGTGGAAAGGCGGATTAACTCCTAAATGGCAGAGAAGAGCCAGTATAACCATCATCTAAGCCAGTATAACCATCATAACCATCTCGAGCTGGTCTTGTCAGCAGGGTTATGGGATTCATTGCTTTGTGAAGTGCGGGTTTCTTCACTGTTGCCCTTCACATGCACTTAATTAATTAGCTTGTAGATGGGCTAATTAGCTGGTGTCCTGGTCTAGCGGAGGTGAGTAATTAGGGAAATTAGCTGATGTAGTGGCAATCTGAAGGAGTATTTAGGACCGCCGTTTTTCACTAAACCAGAATTGACCATCCGTTCTTCTCAACGAGATTACATTTGGCTGGAAAACAAAACGCTGTTTACCCCGTGCCTCAAAGAGAACGAGAGTGGACCTAATGGATCACGATAGTCCAAGATGAATTTGTTTGTGTGCTTGGCTTACCCCCTAAAACCTCCCTATTTTCAGAACTAATGGGAAATTGACCAAAAAGATAAATATGGATGCACTTTTGTTCTGGCAGCGATCATTTAGATTGCCTCTGACTGCATTGAGTCATTAGCCTCATCTGACGGGAGCAAGAGAAGCGGATGAGAGGGAGAACGATCTGAATGGCTTTCTGAGCACTTACAGCAAGGATTGATCATTATTTGTTGTTGTACTTTAGCTCGGGGACAGCAGGTTCCTCTAAAGTCTTCCTGTAAACTCAATTCCTGTAATGTCCACATGCGCACACTGATTTTTAGTTCATTACACACTGATTTTTAGTTTATTTTCGCCTTTTTATAGACGAGCGCTGCAAATTATAATTTAAACGTAGAGCCATTTTTTTTACTGTTATCAAATTATAATTTAAACGAAGAGCCATTTCGATTTTTTTTTATATTGTTATTTTCATGTCAGTTTCTTTTATTATTACTGCATTGCAAAACATTTATAATTACATTTTTAAAATGTAAAGTATTTATACACTACTATTCGTAGGGGTCGGTTTCCTTTTGAGTTTCTTCTGCTCACCAAGGCTGCACTTATGTGATCAAAAATACATTAAAAAAAAATTATTACAATTTAAAATAGCTGTTTTCTGTGTGAATATATAATAAAATGTAATTTATTCCTGTGATTAAAGCTGAATTTTCAGCATCATTACTCCAGTCTTCAGTGTCACATGATCCTTCAGAAATCACTCCAATAGGATGATTTGATGCTCAAGAAATATTTATGATTATTATATCATAAATTTGGATAAAAGCGTCTGCTGAATGAATAAATGTAAATATCAATGTTGAAAACAGTTGAGCTGCTTATTTTTATGGATTTTTGGATTTTCTGATGAATAGAAAGTTATTTAAGTTATTTAAAACAAATATTTTTTGTCACTTTTGATCAATTTAATGGATCCTTACTGTATTAATAAAAACTGGCCCCAAAAGTTTGAACAGACATTTAAAACATAATAGTATTTGTTATACTGACCTTAATGTATGGTTATTTATTAATTAATATTTATTTACTTAAATCATTGCATTGCAGTATGCTTTAGTTAAACATTCAGGTTTGAATATTTTTAAAATGTTTTTAATTGTGAAAATATTTGTATTAATGTTTTTACAGTTAAAAAGTTGCAAAAACTTCACAAAATAATTTTTCCTGCCCATTTCAATGGTTACAGTGTATGTGTTTTAATTAAATGTTTACACATGGAAGCCAGTGTCTCTGTGACATTGGCTAACTTCCAGATGGGCTTGGGAAAGCGTTGGAAGTTCAGTGCAGAAACAAGCACACAAACGACCCCTTCAAGCTCTATATGATCCCTCTTAACCCTTTCGACAAGGTCAAACGCGCTGGATATCTGCCGTTAGCACTGCCAAGGAATGTGACATGCCATCAAGCGCTTGCCTAATCCGCACTTGAATTGCATCATATCAACACCCAAACACATCCCCAAAAAGTCCTGACCTCCGTCTACAGAGGAGCTGATAACTATGGAAATATTCGGATGTGGATTGTGCATCCCACCGGCTGATTGTGAAAGTCCCCGATATAAATAGATGCTTTTGAACTCGAAAAACTTTGGCTTGTCAGATTTTTGCATTTGCACTGAATTCCCTTATGAATTGTGTGTTAAAACAACGCAGGCCGAATTTGACAGTTTTAACAATCATCATTATTCATTTTTAGTTCAATTCCTCAAGATCTGTTTTATTTCAAATCTTTAACTTTCTTCTACCGTGAAAATATGATGCAAAACCAGAAATTCCCTTGGGAAAACCTCATTCTTTTCCATAGTTTTAGGGCTACAACCTGAACACCTCTAGTATCATTAAAATAGTTGCATAATCTTAATGGTCTTACTTTCAGCTTCTTATTTATAATATATTTTTATTTTGTTTTAAAATGCACCAATGCAGAATATTGCCCTTTTAATTTTCAACTTAGTTAGGAATGCACAAATATAAAAATTTGGGCGATACCGATAACCGATAATTCTTTACATGTGAAAGCCGATAACCGATATTTTGGCCGATAAATCTAAATCCAAATTTGTATATAATTTTTGAGAGCATGATTACAAAAACACAAGTCTCAGCTGAAGGAAATAATCCATTATTTATCGGCTTAAATATATATCAGCCCAATTTTCTTATCAGGCCGATAACGAAAACATTAAAAACAAACACATATATGGGCCGATACCGATATGGTGGCCATCATCCCTTATTTTAGTATGTAAAGCTCTTTGAATCACACAATAACCGTGCTTTTCTTTATGAACGCAGGTTTCACTCGATGGCTTTTCAGCTTCACTGTGGGACAAAAAAACTCTTCCTTTGACAAACCGATAACCGATAATTCTTTATAATTGACAGCCGATAACCGATATTTTGGCCGATAAATCTAAATCCAAATTTGTATATAATTTTTGAGAGCATGATCACAAAAACACAAGTCTCACCATTAAAAGCCAAGTCCCAAGCACACAATCACAACGATATTCTCATTATAATGTTATGTAGCCGATATGACTCCTTTTTTGAAGTGAATCCAATCATATTTCAAGCCGGTCAAAACCTTAATTGTGAATCTGAATCTCTCAGCTGAAGGAAATAATCCACTATTTATCGGCTTTAATATATCAGCCCAATTTTCTTATCAGGTCGATAACGAAAACATTAAAAAACAAACACATATGGGCCGATACTGATATGGTGGCCATCATCCCTTATTTTAGTTTGTAAAGCTCTTTGAATCACACAATAACCGTGCTTTTCTTTATGAACGCAGGTTTCACTCGATGGCTTTTCAGCTTCACTGCGGGACGGAAAAACTCTTCCTTTGACAAACCGATAACCGATAATTCTTTATAATTGACAGCCGATAACCGATAGTTTGGCCGATAAATCTAAATCCAAATTTGTATATAATTTTTGAGAGCATGATTACAAAAACACAAGTCTCAGCATTAAAAGCCAAGTCCCAAGCACACAATCACAACAATGTTCTCATTATAATGTTATGTAGCCGATATGACTCCTTTTTTGAAGTGAATCCAATCATATTTCAAGCCGGTCAAAACCTTAATTGTGAATCTGAATCTCTCAGCTGAAGGAAATAATCCACTATTTGTCAGCTTTAATATATCAGGCCAATTTTCTTATCAGGCCGATAACGATAACATTAAAAACGGGCCGATAACGATATGGTGGCCATCATCCCTTATTTTAGTTTGTAAAGCTCTTTGAATCACACAATAACCTTTGTGTGCTTTTCTTTGTGAACGCAGGTTTCACTCGATGGCTTTTCAGCTTCACTGCGGGACAAACCTCAGTTCCTTTGACAAACCGATAACCGATAATTCTTTATAATTGACAGCCGATAACCGATAGTTTGGCCGATAAATCTAATTCCAAATTTGTTTATAATTTTTGAGAGCATGATTACAAAAACACAAGTCTCAGCATTAAAAGCCAAGTCCCAAGCACACAATCACAACGATGTTCTCATTATAATGTTATGTAGCCGATATGACTCCTTTTTTGAAGTGAATCCAATCATATTTCAAGCCGTTCAAAACCATAATTGTGAATCTGAATCTCTCAGCTAAAGGAAATAATCCACTATTTGTCAGCTTTAATATATCAGGCCAATTTTCTTATCAGGCCGATAACGATAACATTAAAAACGGGCCGATACCGATATGGTGGCCATCATCCCTTATTTTAGTATGTAAAGCTCTTTGAATCACAAAATAACCTTTGTGTGCTTTTCTTTATGAACGCAGGTTTCACTCGATGGCTTTTCAGCTTCACTGCGGGACGAAAAAACTCTTCCTTTGACTAACCGATAATTCTTTATAATTGAAAGCCGATAACCGATATTTTGGCCGATAAATCTAAATCCAAATTTGTATATAATTTTTGAGAGCATGATTACAAAAACACAAGTCTCACCATTAAAAGCCAAGTCCCAATCACACAATCACAACGATGTTCTCATTATAATGTTATGTAGCCGATATGACTCCTTTTTTGAAGTGAATCCAATCATATTTCAAGCCGTTCAAAACCATAATTGTGAATCTGAATCTCTCAGCTAAAGGAAATAATCCACTATTTGTCAGCTTTAATATATCAGGCCAATTTTCTTATCAGGCCGATAACGATAACATTAAAAACGGGCCGATACCGATATGGTGGCTATCATCCCTTATTTTAGTATGTAAAGCTCTTTGAATCACACAATAACCTTTGTGTGCTTTTCTTTGTGAACGTAGGTTTCACTCGATGGCTTTCCAGCTTCACTGCGGGACAAACCTCAGTTCCTTTGACAAACCTCCGAGCGTTTCCCACTGCTGACCAGCGCCATTATGCTTTATATATGATCTCCAGGAGTATTAGAGGGATTTGAGCGGGAAATGACTATATTTATCAGCAGTGGCGATAAGTCATAAAGACACAGCGCGGTGCCAAACGACTCCTGGCATCTGTCATTTTGTGCCTGAATGAGAAAAATTGGTGTAGCGTGAGTCCATATGATCATTCCACATGCAGAGACTCAGGCACAGGACTCCCAGCATGCATCATTCACATGCTACGGTGAACTCTGTGCACAATGCCACAGTTTTTGCAAGAAACGCCTCCCTTGCTAATGTTGAGAATGAGGTTTGCCATCTGGTTACTAGCGGAAAAAAGAAGGGTGAACAAAACCTAATCTAGCACCCGCTGTGTGGGTTTTTGTAAATGCCAAATGTTCCCAATCCCATACGTCAAAACTCTGACAATGCTTTTCTTGAGACAAAAAAAAGCCAGTGAGATGCTTTCACAGTGTGTGACATCCAGAAATCAGATGATTTATGATCTTTCTAACTCATCAACGCAAAGAGAATCAGCTGGGATTAGGGCTGGGCCGTCGACATTAAAACTGAGCAAAATTATGAATGTCGCTGTGATTTTCATGCCGATACAGTGGATGTTTTGACTAGTTTCACCAAAAAAATGCCACTCGTATGTAAATGGACTACTTAATGAGTGTTTAGTGATATTATAGAAATAAAATATTGATTTCTAAAGGCAATTTTTACAATGTCTGTTCAGAAGTGTGGTTAAAAAAAATATCATAAATGTTTCTTGAGCATCAAATCAAATTAGAGTGATTTCTGAAGGATCGTGTGACACTGAAGACTGGAGTAATGATGCTGAAAATCACAGGAATAAATTACACTTTATTATATATTCACATAGAAAACTGATGTTTTAAATTAAAAAAATGTTGCTGTATTTTTACTGTATTTCTGAGCATCTTACGACCACAAACTTGACGAGTAGCGTACCGTTTACTGTATATATAGAGAGAAACATATAGAATATTATCAAAAATATGCTTATCAGACATAAACGCACTGAAAAAAAAAATGCTTTATCTAATCAATAAAATCGTGGCAACATATTACAAGCAATATTATTAATTAAATTGTACAAATTAGAATTAATTAGATTACTCAATTCTAATTTGTTCAATTTAATAAATAATATTGCTTGTAATCTGTTGCCACAATTTTATTGATTAGATAAAGCATATTCATTTTTACAGTGTGTGAGATTTGGTTTTGATGAAAGGATAAAGATGACGGACCCACCGCTCTTACTCAGGGTGACCCGGCCGGCTCTCTCGGTTGTGTATTTGACTTTGGCCGTGTCGTTGTTGTTGTGTTGCTGTGTTTCACCAGGTCCTGATTTCAACACGGCTGACGTCTCAACAGAGAGATCATCCTCTCCTGCGTCTTCTGAAGGCTCTCTTTCCTCGTTTTCCCCGTGGTTCTGGTCTTCGGGCTCGGGCTCCTCCGGGGGACTGGGGCTCGGCGTGAGCCCGGATCCGTGCAGCGAGCTGGGGCTGGAGTGCAGGGAGAGAGAGGGTTCCTCTGGTTCTCCGTGTCGGGTCACATGTGGGCGGAGACCCGCCGGCTCCTGGATGAAGCCCGCGAACATGATGCCCTGATCCGCAGCGTCCTGGATCTGCTAAAGAGAGAGAGAAACACAAGTCGAGTCAGGTCAGCTTTATTTATACTAGATGTTGACCGATATTGGATTTTACCGATATTCGGGTTTGACCATGCATGCCGATAACCGATTATTCAACCGATATTTGATACTGGATTAAAAACAAACGTAACACTCCAAGTAAAACAGTGCTGAACTGAAATGTGCTAAATTAAATAAATATATAAAAATGAGAACTTCTACAGAACGAACTCTACAGAAAATAATTTAAACATTAAAATATTACAGGTTTCTTTAGCTATAACCTAGGAATGTTTGTAAATTAATTTAATAGGTAACACTTTGTAAGTCCCATTTGTTAACAAGGATGTAATACAGCTTTCATGAACTACGCATTGTTCAATATACAGTTTTACTGCATGCATTATTATTTGAGCAATACAATTGTATCTTGCTCGTTCATGTTAGTTTATAGTACATTAACTAAGGTAATTACAGATCAAATTAAAATTAAAACTTAATTTAAAATGTATTACTAAATGTTGAAATTAACAAACAGTGAATAATACTTCTACAACACTTCTTAACCTTAGTAAAAGGCTAAAAATCGAATCTTATTGTAAAGTGTTACCATTTCATATAAATCCATAGAGTCAGCAACAGACGCAACCCGTAAAAACTATCGGTTTGGATTTTTGCCGATAACGATAGTTCCAACAATCAACTATCGGTACCGATATATCGGCAAGATCGATGAATCGGTCGACCTCTAATTTATACAGCGCTTTTTACAATACAGTGTTTCAAAGCAGAGATAACAGGAAAATAGTTCTTTTCCAAAAGAAAATTGTGTCACAGTCACAGACCATACAGTCAAACCTTCAACATTATCATAGTTTATTTGCTATAGTTTAGTATATGGTAATAAAATATGACTGGTTTTGTCCGTCCTTCTGTTAGACTCTCACACATGAATTATGTTGAATATCTGTTAAATTGAACTACACCATTAGATAATACCAGTTTAGCTCAACCAGTGACCAAGCAATGCTTCATGTTGTTCAGTGTGTGTGTAAAAAGAGCAGAAAGCACACTTCAGCAAAACATGATCAGCTCAAAGTGGTCCCAAATATTTATAAATTTTACCTGTATGAAGAATTTTGGGGTATAATATGTCACAGTTTACTTTATTTTGCTGTCCTCACTCACAGTAGTGTCCTACACACACACTAGTAAAAATGAATAATTTTTGGTTTGACTCACTGTATATTTTTTGTTTAGACAAACATGAATTTCCATGCTATGCTATCTGGCTGCGGATTTATCCTGCTCAAACAATGAGATTGTTTACCGTAGCCGACAATAAGGAAAGCCAAGCACAACTCATTATCATATGAAAAGCCTTCTTACACAAGATAGGATTTTTAGCTCTGAATTATCAAGGAATATTATCACTATTGTGGGTTTTAAACTTGAAAACAGTAATATAGTGAAATATTAAAGACCTTTTCTATTTAAACAAGTTCAGCATCCATTACTCCAGTGTCACATGATGATTTGCCGCTCAAGAAACATTATGATTATTATCAGTGTTGAAAACACTTGTGCTGATTCATATTTTTGTGGAAACCGTGATTGATGTCAAAAAAGCATCAAAATTGAGTACCAATAATAATTGAGCGTCAGATCCTCATATTAGAGTGATTTCTGAAGGATCATGTGACACTGAAGACTGGAGTAATGAGGCTGAAAATCACAGGAATAAATTACACTTTACTGTGGGGCTGTCAAACGATTAATCGCATCCAAAATAAAAGTTTGTGTTTATATAATATATGTGGGTACGGAGGCGTATTGCATTCACTTGAAGAAAAAAAATCTACTCTGTTTTTCTGAATTAATGAGTTAATTTTTCAAGAGAAAAAAAAATTTTGCTCTGTTTTTCTAAATTAATGAGTTAATTTTTCATAAGAAAAAAATTTTTTGCTCTGTTTTTCTGAATGAATGAGTTAATTTTTCATAAGAAAAACATTTTTTGCTCTGTTTTTCTGAATTAATGAGTAAATTTTTCGTGAGAAAAAAAGTTTTTGCTCTGTTTTTCTGAATTAATGAGTTAATTCAGAAAAACAGAGCAAAAAAAAAAATTCCATGAAAAATTAACTCGTTAATTCAGAAAAACAGAGCAAAAAACTTTTTTTCTCATGAAAAATTAACTCGTTAATTCAGAAAAACAGAGCAAAAACTTTTTTTCTCATGAAAAATTAACTCGTTAATTCAGAAAAACAGAGCAAAAACTTTTTTTCTCATGAAAAATTAACTCGTTAATTCAGAAAAACAGAGCAAAAACTTTTTCTCATGAAAAATTAACTCGTTAATTCAGAAAAACAGAGCAAAAACTTTTTTTCTCATGAAAAATTAACTCATTAATTCAGAAAAACAGAGCAATTTTTTTTCTCATGAAAAATTAACTTGTTAATTCAGAAAAACAGAGTAGAATTTTTTTCTTCAAGTGAATGCAATACTAGTGTGTATTTATATATATAAAATAATTATACACAGTGCACCCACATATATTATGTAAACACAAACTTTTATTTTGGATGCGATTAATCGTTTGACAGCCCTACTTTACTGTATATTCACATAGAAAACAGCTGTTGTAAATTCTAATAATATTTCACAGTTTTACAAAGTTTTTGACCACATAAATGCAGCCTTGGTGAGTAGAAGAGACTTCTTTCAAAACACTTAAAAAAATCGAATTATTCCAGACAAACGTTTTATCCGAAAAATCTGAGATTAAATGGTTTAATAATCCTTCATAATTTTGGATTTTACTTTATGTAGTGCTGATTTGATCCTGGTCCAATTTAGCAGATCTTCCCAAAAATAGTTGACATCTTGAAACATTTGCTAAACTTTTGCTTCTTTATTTGAGTTGCATAACATTATAAGAAATTTCATTTGGAGAAAGTAGCTTTCATTCATCATGAAAAAAACATTAAACCCGATTGATATGCCACATTAGCCTGACAATAAAACGCGATTCAAAACAATATATTGCAAAAGCGGCTTCCTTTCTTCCACACCATCATCTATTTGAGATTAGCACACGCTGATTACAATGGCAGCGGTCCGCCATTGACCCACATCAGACGAGCATCTTCCACTTTATTGTCAGTCACGTTTCGAAGCCAGTCTTTGAATTCTCATCAAACCAAATTGAATCGTTAACTGTCAAGGAATGCTAATGATGCCATTTTCCATTATGCTGCTTTAATAAAGGCCAGCCTGAGGCCTGCCTCCACTATCTCCATCCGAAGCCTTCGCCCACACCACAATCACACAGGTTATTTTCTCTGAAATTAAACCGAGAACAGACCCGTCCTTTTCCAGAGGCATTGTTTAATGCATATTGAACGCTGACGCCGGGAGTCCTGTCATTATATTTGCAACAATGATGCAAATGAAATTGCATAGATAAGAAGTCGTTTTTCTCGGCCGGTGAATAATTTCCGCGGTTGATGTGACGGGTGGAAGGATCGCATTGGTGATGATCGTTGCTATTCATCACGGGTGCATGTGGACCGCCACAGGATCTATAGTGAATCCAAGAGGACACTTTTGTTCCACTAAGTTTGTGACTGGTAAGATTTTTCTGAAAGAAGTCTCTCATACTCATCTAGGCTGCATTTATTTGATCAAAAATACAATAAATATAGTGAAATATTATGTATAATGTAGAGCGAGGCGGTTGCGGAGGGGGATTTACTTGAAAAAACCTTGCTAAACGATCTCACTCAGAAAATGCTAGTAAATTTACAAAGATTTGCCAAGTAAAAACCTAAACATATTTATTAGTAGCTTTAATTAAAAATCTTTTAAGTTAAATTTACTTGGATTGTGGAATTAAGTAAACTTTACAAAAAATAAGTTATTTTAACTCGGCTTGTAAAAGGTTGATTAATATCGATTTCCTTTGCCTTTGTATTACATTTCACTAAAACAATAATCTTGAATTTTATTAGTCATTTATAGTTTGTGCTTTACTTAGATCAACTAATTTATATATACATCATGTCAGATGTTAAGCATCATGTGAATGCAAACACCTCAATACTTGGTAGACAATACACAATGGCGGTAACATTTGATGGATCGTTTTTGTGTTTGAATGTGTCGTTTTAAGCAAAAAATGTACTCGAAATGTCACACAATGGCAATTTACTAATACTGACAACAAAAATCAATGATAAAACAGTGTAAATACAGCTGGAAACCAGTGAAAAATGAGCCTCATTAATTATTCAAGGTCCAGTGCATGATGGGAACCCCAGTATCAGAAAAGTTGAGTCATTTTTACTTAATTTTATTGAGTTGATATTTACACTTTCATTTATACTCGCTTGAATTAAGTACTAATATGGAATTTACTTAGTTTTTTAAATTCTTGCCTAAACTAACTTTTTCAAGTAAATTACATTCGGTTTTTTCACTAGTATTTACTTCACCAAAAAAACATTTTTTTACAGTGACAAATGAATCAATAATTTGACACAAAATATTGATTTACTAAGGAGTTTATTGATTTAAAAACGAGTGTATTGCTTCGGCTAAAGAAAATAGTCCGTTCCTGTGAGAACTGAGTCCATAGCAACGATTTGTTTTTCATGGCAACGGTCAAGAAATAACAGACCGCAACCAAACCATGTAATAATACAATTTAATTCGTTATTATTATTATTCGTGATTTCATATTGATATAGAACATCATTACTCCAGTTTAATAACGCCTTACAAATATTTATATAAAATAAAATACCATAGCTGACACAGTCATTAACAGCTTTACAGAAATATTCTGCACAGCATCTTACAGGGTTTTACGGATATACCATATTGATTTATTTATTTATTTTGTAGTTGTAACAAATTGCTATGTTCCAAAACCAAGTGAGCTTTACTCTGGTGCTGCTCGTGTGGCGGTCAAAAATAATCAAATGTATTATTATTTTTTATTTCATTGAAAGTAATGTACTATATTTTAGTCCGATAATGTTTTTTAGTTCATATTTTGTATTTTATGGTAGTAAAATAATATCCATGCAGTTGTTAAAATCCATTTATTCACTTTTTGAGCATAGACCTGAAAATGAAAAATATAGACTATTTAAAGATGACAAGTAAAAAAATAAAGAAATTTTATGATTATGCATAAAAATACTGTTTTATCTGTTATTTGATATGAAATATATATTTTCCAAAACACGTTTTACTCTAAAACTGTGAGAAAATCAAAACCGTAATCTAAACAAGTGATATCTCAAAAATGATAAATGTAGAAATCCCATAATGCATTGCAGCAAGTTCACCTTATTAATAATTAAAAATATTAATGTAATATCCACTTTATAGGTCAAAAACAGCAGGTCTGAACTGATAACTAGTACGTTTTAGCACAAATGGTGGTCAGTGTTTTAATATGCATGAGCAGATTTGAATATTCATGACCCAGTTATGTGTTCCTACAAGACAGGAGCTTCTTACTTTCTTCACGTATCCTTGGATGTGTTCTGTAGTGGGAATCTGGTCCGCAGACATGCATTCCTCCAGTTTAAGATGGTAAGGCTCAAAGTCTGCCGGATTCTTCTCCCAGCTGAGAGAGAGAGAGAGAGAGAGAGCACCGGTTTTAATGTGAACCACACAACTCTTAAACAGGTGCAGAGTAGCGATACATCTCAGACCAAACCGAAAAATGATCATTTTAGCGAACTGATTATAAGACAAGAAAAGAAAGTGTTAGTGAGATGGTGAACATCTGTTCGTGAGGTTTATTATTGGAAACATTTTGCACAGAAATGAGCACTAATACGACACATTTTCTCTAAACGAGCTGTAATATCTCTCTCTCTCTCTGATCTGACTCCCTTCTGCATTGTTGAAGGTGAAGTGCGTCATTTATTCAATGTTAAAATACTTTCTATGACGGTTTAATATGCAGAGATGACTGTATAACTCGGTGGGCATGAGGCACATTAAGAAATATGCTCACAAAGGCTCCATCAAAAATTCATAAAGTCGGCAAAAGTGCAAAATATTATTACCGTTTAAATCTGCTGTTTTCAATGTGAATATATAGTAAAGTGTAATTTATTCCTGACCTGTGATCAAAGCTGAATTTTCATCATTACTCCAGTCTTCAGGGTCACATGATCCTTCAGAAACCACTCTAATATTACATTATATTTAATCATTTACCAGATTTATTCAAAGCGACTTACAAATGAGAAGAAACGATCAAACAATAGGACAACAATATGCAAGTGATGTGACCCTTCCCAGTTTAGTCAGTGTAAATTGTTATGTATTTTTCTAATAGATAGGCTCTAGAATAAAAGAGAGAGCTATATATATATATATATAAAAAGTCTTTATTAATGGATCAAGATTTGCATAAAAAATGCAGAAAGGCTCGGGTGAGTTTGGTACATCATTCCACCAGCAGGGAATCATGGTGTGGGTTTGGGGGTGGGACTAAAAATATGTTTTCATTGTAAAACAGATGTTCTCTATGTGAATATACAGTAAAGTGTAATTTATTCCTGTATTTTCAGCATCATTACTCCAGTCCTCAGTGTCACATGACCCTTCAGAAATCACTCTAATATGAGGATTTGCTGGTGTTTTGACTCATCCAATGGCGTGAGTTTGGGGGCGGGACTGTCTTTATAATTATGAATGACTGTAACTGTTTCTCTCCTAAGGAAACCCTCAGAGATCCTCGTGAGGTGGCGTCTTCTCCCATCTCCTGTGTGTGTGTGTGTGTGTGTGTGTGTGTGTGTGATATTTGGGACAGAGATGAAACACACTAACCCAGAGTTCCATCCAAACACAAAGTCACAGCACAGCAGGGCCCTGACTCACCTCTGTCACACACACACACACACACACACACACACACGGATTCACACTTCCCGCCAAACACACGGCCATCTGCTGCCTGAACACATTCGCCTCGTCTCGTTCCTGACCGTATCTTCAGTCTGGGTTTAACATGAAGACAAACAAACCAGAGCAGCGTATGAACAGCAGAATGAAGGGCTTGTCTATTTAACAAGTTAATTTAGTGTGATTAACAATACGAGAAAAGGAAAAACATGCTTTTTTGCAAATAATCATGACCCCTGATATGTTTATTAATTTCATAATGTAAAAAAATACAATTTCCCACCATCTGAGCATTCTGTAGTCATACATCTGTTCTTTCTGTGATAAAGCACACACACACACACACACACAAAGATAGAGTACACTTCATACTGCAAACTGCAAAAATAATTATTTTTATATAATTATTATATATATATATATATATATATAAAAAAATATATTTTATTAAAATTTAATAAAATAATATTTTTTGTTTTTAAAGAAATTAAATTTGTATTAAATTGATCGAAAGTTACAGTAAAGACATTTATAATGTTACAAAACATTCTATTACAAATAAATGCTTTCTATTCATCAAAAAATCCTGAAAAAAAAATTGTGTTTCCTTTAAAAGAATTAAGCAGTTTTCAACATTGATAAATCTCATAAATGTTTCTTGAGCATCAAATCATCATATTAGAGTGATTTCTGAAGGATCATGGGACAGCAATGATGCTGAGAATATGAGCTTTTCCAGTTGGTCTCCATTTAATCTCATTGCATATGAGAATATATACAGGTGAAACTCGTAAAATTAGAATATCGTGCAAATGTTTTTTTATTAAAAATTTTAAAATATTTTTTAAAATAAAAATGTATTTCAGTAATTCAACTTAAAGGCGAAACTAATATATTATATAGACTCAAAGTGAGATATTTCAAGCCTTTATTTGTTATAATAGTTTACAGATATGAAAACCTTTTCACAATATTCTAATTTTGACTTTGGTGTTTTCATATCTGTAAGCCATAATCATCAAAATTATAACAAATAACGGCTTCCCTTACGAAAAAGAAGTATATTTCAAGTTTATTTTATGTAGTATACTTAAGTAATGTTCAAGTATATTTTTAAGTATACATTATGTAGTAAGTATACTAATGTCACTATGTACTAGTAGTAAACTTGTACCGCTTGGGACTAAATTGGCCCACTTTTAGTACATAAAAGTATACGTTTAAGTGTACTATAAGTGTAACAGTAAGTGCACAACTAGTTCATAATTATGTATCTCATGTGTACTGCAAGTGAATTTATGGGTATACTAGTAGTTTACTTTTTTACTGTAATACTTATGCAAGTATACTTTGAACACTTAATTATACTTTTAAGTATTTCTGGATCAAAAGATTGAGTACAAGAACAGGACAAATATACTTGCTTTTCTCTCAGTATAAGTATAAGTACACTTAAGTGTAATTTGAAGTATACTTCTGAGAAGTACAGGAAAAATAAACTGAAAGTATACTTTCTTATTTTTAGTTTAAAAGAAGTATACTAATGGCACACTTAAAATAAAGGCTTGAAATATCTCACTTTGCATGTAATGAGTCTATACTTTCACAAATAATGAAATTTTGCATGCTATTATGAGTTTCACCTGTATATAGTATGTAGTGCTCAAGTTATATTGATTACTAACGCTTCTTTTTTGAGCTTTTCAGACACGATCACCGTGAACCGTTGCATGCAAAAGAACCGTATAACGAGATTCCCCTTTTGTGTTCCCGAGAGCAACACACACCAGCACGAGGCTGAGCAAATAAAGACTTCTCCACTGTGGATGAACTATTCACGTAAAAGGCATTGCATTTCTCTCCTCCAGGCGTAATGTCCGGCGGGTTAAACAGCAGCAACTCCGACAGAAAAGCTTTGCTCACGGGAGTGCTGCTTCTGGGAATAAAAAGCTTAAAGCATCACTGATCTACACTTCCTTCAGATTCAGTTCGCTCAAAGGTCTGTCTCAGACATGCATCTTACACACAGCTGGGTTGCACTGTTGCCGAATGCCTGTGTGTGTGTGTGTGTTTTCACCTCTCTATCTTTGCCCTCAGGACTCACGATATCACTGTCAGATTCAGCACCGTCAGGTCTGCAAGTGATATTGCCATGACAACAACCATGTATCCCAATCTTTAATCATTGCATTAATAATGTATCACATCTTTCTTGATGTCAGCTTATTTACCGAGCCGTGAATAATGTTATTCAAGCGTAACGGCCTTAATGGTTTCGGGTCCGTACCGGTACCCCTGCGAGGTGCTCTGCAATTATCAAAAAATGATGCATAAATCACCCGCCCTCGTCGCTGAAGTGGAACTGTAAGTAAAATTGAACATGGGTGGCTTGACGGTTGACATTTGGAGTTATAAACATAGTCAGCAACATTCAGCAAATCGCTTTTTCTCGACTGATGTTTGCTTCCAGAGGAGCTCCTAGTGAGTTTTGGAGGGGAATAATCCTGATGTGGGAGAGCTGGGCCCGGGTCAATGTTAAAATACAGCTTTCACAAAGATGAATCAAGGGTGCACGTAAATAGAGCCGATATTGGGCATTTTCCAAACTATCGGTATCGGCAGTTATTATGGCCGATAAAATAAAAATAAAAACGGACGAAACACGCTATCGAAACATGCACCATGTCATGAGTGTTGGAGTTGTATAGTTTGTCCACCTGAGGGCGCTCTACACGTCCCTTTTTTTTTTCTTGTTCAACACTTTTGACAATGTGACTTTAAATTTCTTTAAAGGCACATATCATGCAAAATCCACTTTTTTTGCCCTTAAATGCATTTTGTTGTATATTTGGAGTGTTTATAAGTACAGAAAAGATGAAATTATTCTCTTCAGGTGCTTCGTTTATATCTTTAGATTCTGTTTTGGTCATATTTTTCAACCTGTTCAGATTTTTCGGTTCTCTATGACGTTTTTTGAACTATCACGTCACCGTATTTGCAGCGGAACTGACGAATAAGGACATCGACTACCGGCCCAACACTTCGAGCAATCCGCCATTATTATTTCTCGCTGTGATTTTGTAGTCCGAGCTCAATGATGCAGACGTTACGAGAGGGCAAGTCAAAATGTTCGGTTGTTGGATGTACGTTAGTGACCTGAAGCAGTTCAACAACCTCCGCCAGTAACGTTATACAGAAGGGTTTGCCGATTGAATGAGGGGTAAACTCCTTCTATCTTTGGAGACGACGAACAGAGCGTTTCGATAAGCTGTAAATATCGTTAATAAAAATAAAGTACTTTACTTTCTTAAAACACATGGTGGTCATGGTTTAGCAGTACCTTTGTCTTTCTTTGTTTTTGTTTTGAAGTAACGTGATCTCGTTCATCAAAATGAAAAAATCTTTTTTCGAGTCATGGGGTCCTTGATGAGACCCTTATTCATCGTCTGGTGTCGTTTAAAGCTGCACTGAAACTCTCATTTGGACCTTGAACCGTTTGGACCCCATTGAAGTCCATTATATGGAGAAAATCCTGGAATGTTTTCATTTCTTTGCGACTGAAGAAAGAAAGACATGGACATCTTGGATGACATGGGGGTGAGTAAATTATCAGCAAAAGTTTTTTTTAAAGTGAACTACTCCTTTAAAGGAAAATGTATCAATATTTACTCACTTTACGTTGTTACAAACTTTCTTTGTATGTAGTAA